CGTGCGTTTAGTCTTTATCAGTGAACTTCAAGTTTGTGTTACGCTAGGTATTTCATAAAAAAAAAAATTATCTGCATAGTTAATGATAGAAGCATTAAAACATGATACGTTTGGCATAGTGATTTTTGCCACGTGGAAATAAGGCTGTGACTTCAGATTGTGTATGTAACGACGTATGCTTAGTTGCTTTTTCCAGAAAAATTAGGATGCAACAACTTAAACACATTTCCTCACAAGCGTGTCAGCGAAACGATAACCTTTCTGAGCACTTGGTTAATTTTTAAGTTTTGACGCACATCCAGCCTAGATCAACATAGAGAAGTTGTTCATTTCCCTTAGTCATACACTTTCAAGAAACAAGCGCAATTTAAGTTATTCTTAATCGAAGGACGCATATAAATGTGAATTGCCGCATAAACGTCGACTTTCTGGTCGAAAAAGCCGAGCAAAAAGGTTGTCTTTCAATGTTCATTACAATGCAGTTGATCTTTAACCGCCGTTAAATCACTTAGTGAACCCTTAAGTGTTTTGGGGGTACAAGGTTAGTGGAATAGTAGATTGAAATTGGTCAATAATGTAGAGAAAAAAAAAAAAGAAATATTGCTGAGATTGGGAGTAAGCCTTGTTTTTGAAATACACTCAGTTAACTTTCAAATCGAAGTGCCTCAAGAGAATTTGGGAAGCCCGCCGATTTAATTAATCAAGTTAGAGAATACAGGGTGTCTGGTGTTTTGTCCCATCTTCCTTCCTCACGGTATGGGTCCATTGTATTCAAAAGCTACATTTTGATTTCCAATATCGCGACGCTTTTGAGTTTTATTAAACGCTTCCCCTTTCATTATTCCTTCTTGGCATTCAAGAGTGTGCAATTTTAATAAACATGCCTCCCATATGTTTCCCGGTTAGCTCAATCGATAGAGCGCTGGACTGTTGTGCGGGAGGTCGAGGGTTCGAGTCCCGGCCGGACCAACACTCAAGGTCTTAAAATAATTGAGAAGAATATGCTGCCTTTTTATAACATCAAGAAATGGTTAGATATTCTAATCTTCTCGGATAGGGACCAATAAATGGAGGTCCCGTCTCCTGCAGGGTTAGGGGTAGGAGACGTTTANCCTATTCCACAAGAGAAAGATGATTCAAGAATATATTGTCTAATTGACATTAAGCAATAATTAATTGCTAATAAATAATAATATTAACGATAACAATAACAATGGTAATGTCATAACAATTTAAAGGGGTCAACCCGAAAGCCTCATGGTTCCCCTATCCTCTGGGCTCCAACAATGATTACCCAGGTTTCATTTGATTTCGCCCGTTTATTGTAAATAATTTTCTTGTCTTGTTGCAATTCCTTTTTTTGAGACTTTTGTTTGAAAAAGGCATTGTGCGTCACAAGATATTCCACCATTCCGCCAATCCACCTTTCGTGCGCTCCGTCATTCTATTGAATAATTCAAGACTTGCTTGCTTCGCAAGTTAGCGGCCCTTTTCGGCGTAAGTAGCTGATTAAAACTGTAAAATGCTCTCTTTTCAAAGAAAAGAAAAATTCGTCAAAGTTTCTATGAAGTGCAGATTACATCTATTGCGATATTTCTGCAAGGAAAAGTTTTGGTTTAAATTATGCGTCGGCGGTGTCAAATTGTTTTGAAATGTTTATTGTCTTTTGTAGTATCACGGCAAGAATATTGAAAAGATCTTATCTTCGGATCTACATAATTTGCTGATTTTATCTGTAAAATGCTCTCTCTTTAACGGATAATTTCCCCTAAGTCTTATGATGTACCGATCACACTTATTAAGATATTTCTGCAAGAAAACCAATTGTCAGTTTTAAATGCACGGAATCCTGAAATGGTTGCGATATGTTTTGCCGCTTTTTGCTGTCTTCCGTTTTGTCACGTCAGGAGCTGAAAATATAATGTGCTTGTGGCTATAAGCCAGAAATCACAAAAGGAGAGAACTCGACTGTGTATCGAGTGTGAATGTCGAACTACTAAGATACTCCGAAACAGCAATAACCAGCAGCGAGAAACGTTGGGTCACAATTGGGTCAAGATCGGAATTATATTGTTAAACTCACTCACTCACTTATCTCGACAACACATGAGGCTTCGCCTCCAACACAACCAAAGAAGCTGGGCAAAGGGATTTAATACTGTTACCCGGTACGCTAGGGTGTGCATTTTTCAATCAGCATTTAGCAAAAAATGGAGCTAAAGCAGACACTGAATGAACTGTTTTAGCGGAATTCAAACAATATCAGACAATGAAATCTTTCTTTTGTTAACGTTCTAAAAACTATTTATATATGTAACAGTTAAAAAAAAAGGCAATCTTGCTGCTGCGTTAAATAATAATACTGCAATGGGTATACCCTGCAGGGCAATGCTGAAAAGCCTAGTCATAAATTTAGTCATTTTCCAGTTTTAGCCCTCTTACTCACAAATGTTGTCTTACATGATGAGGCCAAAACTCCTCTCAAAATGAAGTAGGATGCATATCCTCAGGTCACAGTGCTTTTTATGTGGTTTTTCCCAACCTGTGTGTCGACAAAATGAGTTTTTGGAAGAGAATCACAACTAAATTGCATTTTCAAAACGGCTGCTCCCTGCTACATGTCAAAAATAAACTTGAAGAATTCATTTCTTTTAAAAATGTTCTCTGACTGCTATACAAGAAATTACATTTATACCGAACATTCCAACTGGCTGTGGCAACTCCTCCATCCTCAAATTTGAATGACCTTTCATATGACATTCCATCTGGATAGGATTGCTTGAAATAGTCAGGCATGCCTGGAGGATACTTAGTGAAGCACCTGTTTCCATATTGAAACACTGTGGACAGTATGTCAAAGGAGAACGGAAGGGGTTTTCCCTTGGGCTTGGTGATCCATAATTCGCTCATCTGTGTCCCTCTAAAAAAAGATGAAAAGTGGTGTTGGAAATTGTTTTCACAAACGGCTCATGTATAACTGGAAATGCACGAGAATTAGAGCGAACCAACTATTTATTGCCACAATTCGAACTTAAGACAAGTACTGCGAAACCTTTCATATAAGAGATTAAAGTATGGTACATGAATTTAGCTGTGACTGAGCTTCTCGCACTATTCTGGAAGTTGATGAAGAACTCAATGTTATGGACCATAGGTAACTTGCAAACTTGAATAAAAACAAGCTTATGGTTCGTGACTGAAAATCTTCTGATAAATCTTTGGGTAGAATCCTCTTTCTCTGTCCCTTGACGTTCTCTTGTTTCTAATGCATGGTAATGAAATAATCTAAGCTGTTCTGTTTTTTAAGAGACACTTACTCGTAAGGGCTTCCAATTCCTTCACCTTCAATCGTGAATTCATGGCCATTGACACAGCCCTCCATATGGTATTTCGTGGAGTAAAGCAAACAC